TAAAGCTGCTACAACGATGACGCGGCAAATACACCTATGATGCGTTTGACGTAGCAGAAAGTGCTTTGCACCCGTCCCCTCCCCCACGCCACCGCCTCCACCCCACATCGACTGACAATTTCCACATGAACACCTAAACAAAAGCGACAGCATAAGATCGTTGTTCTACACTGCAGTGAACACGATATAATAAGTTGATATACTAGTGTTAATATTTTACCAATCAGTAATGTTCAGTTGATGTGGACGCGGTGCTTGAGCTTCGTGCTCCTCAAAGTCCTTGTCCGATTCCAGGTCCAACACATGCGGCTGAACGCGCTGTATCTCCATGATGAATAAAAGATTATTCCTACCACTATCAGGGTCACGCCTGTCTCCCCCTCCCTCCCTGAGATGGGCAGAGGAAGGGCGGCTCATTTGGAGAGTGGAGCCTGTGCTTTCTCAGGACGGGTGGGGGGGGATGAGCAATATCATAGTTCCTGGTCTGTGACTCCAAGAAATCAATAAGATTTCAGAACTATTGTGTAATGGATGTTCCAAAACTCATTGTGCTTGTTTATGTGCAGAAGATACAATGTGAAGAGTTCTTTTGCATGAGATGGGCCCTTAAAGTCTGTACAGTCTGTGGTCCTCACGCAGGCTTGCATCTCCACAAATCTGACTCATATGCAGCATTTTATTGCGTTTGGGATTTGGGAAAAACTTAGCCTGATTCATCACTTCATGGAAACTGTCTGAGCAGCATTAGGATTCGTTCGCTCAACGGTAGGAAAGAACTTTTTTTAATTAACCAGTCGCTGCTATTTGGTTGTGACGTATGTAATGCGCTGCTAATGGTGAGAACTTTTTATATTAATCATTTTCAGTTATTGTCATACTTTCTAACCCAGGGGTGGGCAAACTACGGCCTGGGGGCCATATGCAGTCCTTTAATCTTTTTAACCCGGCCCACCGAACTTGAATTATAAGTAATAATAATCATCATTTTCAGTATTTTTGAAAGTAATTTCAGTAAATAGTAAATACCGTGGCACTTGAAAGACACATTTTGTTGTAATTTCCAATTATGGGATATTTCAATAACATGGGATATGTTTTCTACATATCCTATGTTATTTATTTTTTTTCTCTTATGAGGTGGATTACCAAAAAAATCTACACACAGTCCACACTGTCACCTTTGTCCTTATTTGTATGTAATCTTCGATTGTAATGTTTGTCTTGTATATTGTTTGGTTCCCATATTTTGTAATGTATGAAAAAAAAAAAAACAATAGCACGGCGTGAGCCTTGGCATTAGCTGTTGATTCCTTATCCTAAATACTTATCCTAAATGTGCAAGGTTTGTGTGTTAAACATGTGTGAATGAAACAAAACAACTCCAGGTCTGTTTGTGATGAGGAAACAGAACATAGACCTGAAAACAGTGTAATATGGGCCCTTTAATGTCATACTGTGGAACCTTCCAGGCAAAGCAATAGTATCTCTATGGAAACAAATGGTACAGGTTATCTTTAAATAAGTTTTAAGATTACATAATGCAGTTCTCTCAGATGTGTACCCCTTGTGATACTGATACTTTTGTTATAAATCAACAAAAAAAACTAAACAAAATCTTTTGAATGGCCAAAGCCAACATGTTTCGACCTTAACTGGTTTTCATCAGGGCTTAATTAAAACAGAGCATGGGCGTGGCCTTAAAGTAGAACATATCAACCAATAGCAGGCTGGAGTCAATTGGAGGCCGACAAAACAGGCGCACAGAAACAGGACATGGTACAGGCAAAAAAAAAAAATAAAAATCCATAAACAAAAAACAAACACATTATCATTACCATTAATGTTTCTATTATTATTATTATTACCAATAATTTATTGATATTTATAGTTTGTATCATTATTTTACATGTGTACATGTATATATTATTGATAATGATGGCGATAATAATAATTATAATAACAATTTTTAATAAAAAATAATAATAATAATAATAATAATAATAAAAATAATAAAATAATAATAATAATACTAATAATAATAATACTACTAATAATAATAATAATAATATAATAATAATACTATAATAATAATACTAATAATACTACTAAATAATAATAATAATAATTTTTATTATTAATAAAAATAAATAATAATAATAATAAATAATAATAATGATACAAACAATAAATATTAATAAATTATTGGTAATGATGATGTGTTTTTTGTTTATGGATTTTTTTTTTTTTGCCTGTACCATGTCCTGTTCTTGTGCACCGGTTCTGTCTGTCTCCAGTCGACTCCAGCCTGCTATTGGTTGATGTGTTCTACTTGAAGGCCACGCCTATGCTCTGTTTTAATTAAGCCCTGATGATGATGAAACATGTCGGCTTTGGCCATTCAAATAAAGGCCTTTTTAACTATATTTTTCCTCGTGCAATGTGTTTACTTTTTCTACTTGTTTGGAGTGCCTGGAGTCCATTGTGTTTGAGTTTTGATCCTTTTTCCAAGAGCACCCTCTACTTGCTCCTACTGATTGGAACACCTGCAGCAAACAGTCACATTTTTGTTCTTCCAATCAAAAAAAAATGTTTTAATCTTTTGAAATGCTTCTGGTCATGGAAATTCTACGTGTTTGTCAGGGAAAAGTTGAAGTTTGAAGGTGGAGAATCTGTAAAGTGTATCCTGCCATTTTCCTGGAGCTTCATGTGGATCAGTCGCAGATTGAACTGGAAATGCTTTACACCTGTGTTTCCAATTTCCTGCTGCTGAGACAAAATGAACTGAAACATTCTGCTACTGTCTGAAACGGCATCGCAGTTCTGCACAGAGCCCAGGAACAGATAAAAACACTTTAAGATGAGTTTCACTAGCTAGGACCACGCCAACAACAACATAGTGTGATATAAGATAATGTACGAAGCGAGGGAAAGATGGCAGGGTTGAGACTATGGATGGGGGCTCCATCTCAATCTGCAATTGGCCCAGCCAGAACACGACCCCCCTTGTAGGGGTCTTCTGACTGAAAGACAAAATAGAGATGGGAGGGTGGGGTCGGAGTTCGCCGAGACAAACTGGGATGATGGGAAAGGCTGCTACATATGGGCTTCTGGGAAATTCGAGGTGTGGTCGAGGTGAGTTGTGGTTCACTGGTGAGAGGAGAGGGCGGCTGAGGCCTGGTCCTGCTCCTGAATCTCACTTCATCATATTAACTACATTTAAACATGGCCATACCAGCTTGTCAAAGTCTGATCCCGTCAGATCTTAGAAGCTCGGAGGCCAGGACTGGTTAGGACTTGGATGGAAGATCATTGGGAAAATCGCAAAAACTGTCATTGTGTCCTTAGGCAAGACACTTCACCTGCGTTGCTTCGTATGAAAGTGGTGTGTGAGTGAGTGTTGGTGGTGGAGGGAGGGGCAGATGGTTCAGACTGACAGCTTCGCTTCTGTCAGTCTGTCTCATGGCAGCTGTGGCTACAATAGTAGTTTACTACCACTGGGTCTGGAGTGCATGAAGAATGATCTGCAAGCGTCTTTGAGTGTCCATGCGTCAGTTTTATACAGCGCTTTTCTGATGATTTTTATTAATGTAGAAAAGATGCTGACATGGACCACATTTGGACTAGAATTCGCCTCATCCGGATGTCCCTGAAACATCAATACTCGGACGTCCGGAAGATGTTGGAAAAAAGACTGGCGTCTGGCATCTGGCGTCAACGTGATTGGACGTACAAAAATGACCCTAAAGAGACATTGTTTCAACATGTCTTTGCGCAGTATTTGATTCTGCCTCTTGCTCTTTTTGCTACTTATTTAGAATTTATTATCATTTATGTTTTACTCTTGTTGTTATATTATATTGTGATGTGTGAGCGAATGTGTCCGAACCATTTCCCTTGTGGACAGTGTTGGGAAGGTCACTTTTAAAATGTTTTCCCCTACAGATTACAGATTACACACCCCAAAATGTAGTTTGTAACATAATCCATTACATCACATTTTATTGTGTCCGGTTATGTATTTTAGCGTGTGAGTGTGAGTGTGAGTGTGTGTGTGTGTGCATGTTTGTGTGTATGTGAGTGTGTGTGTTTGGGTTGTTTGACTATGTGGGGTTGGGGGTGCGGGGGTTGGGTTGGTGGGGGGTGGTTGGGTGGAAATGCGGGACTGTTTTTAATCACTGTAAAGCACTTTGTGTTGCATTTTGTATGAAAAGTGCTTTATAAATAAAGTTTGATTTGATTTGATGATTACGTTACTCACTTTAAGTAATTTAATCTAAATACTTTGGATTACTTGATTTGCTGTAGAGAAGCAAAAACTAGGAAATCACCACATCAGATGTTTTGTCTGCTAAAAGAAAATAAAAAGCCCAGACTTTACTTAACCAAATAAAAAATATTATTGATAGAAGATGAGGAGACATGGTCCACACAGCAGGATTTAGTCCTGTTAAATCCTGTTTGAGACATAGTTTAGACCTAGTTTAGACCTGGTTTAGACCTGGTTTAGACCTGGTTTATTCCTGGTTTAGACCTGGTTTTAGATCTGGTTTAGTGTCCGGCAATGAGTGGAATTACCAAAAAAAAAAAGATGTATAGCTCAAAATGTGAAAACGGGAAAATACCTCTGTGTTATCCATTTATTTCAACAAGTAACTGTAATCTAATTACCACTCACTTAAACAGTAACTCTAACTGAATACAGTTACTCATAATTTGTACTCGTAACTCTGGTACATGTAGTCTGTTACTCCCCAACACTGCTTGTGGATCAATAAAGTTTGTCTAAGTCTAATTTTGTGATGTGTTTTGTGTCAGCAAACCAAAACTATTAAAGTCTCTGAGTACAGTTTATTCTGAGAAGCACTGTTCATTTCTGTAAACCTCTGGTGTGAAAGGGGAAGTAAAGGCGTAACTGTTGCCCCACCACAGTTTACAGAAGTGAGAGCGGAAATGCACACAGAATAAACCTGCATCTGCACAAACGCACAACACGGCTCCTGTTTCAAACAATACAATACTTTATTACTGCTATAGCTTTTTAAAGATGACTTTTCTTTTACAAGCAAAAGAGAGGCTCAACGGAACTAACATCAATCGTGCATCGTGTAACTTTGTGGTTTGGGGTCCGTCACCTGCTTGTTTCCGTGGATACGTCATTGCTCTGCCTGGAATGTTCCACAGTGTGACATTAAACAGCTCTACTTTACATTTATTCATTTACAGGTGGATTTAGAGCTTAAAAATACCTCAAAAAACAGACATTCTGACTGTGAGCGGGATCGCCTCTCCAGATCTGACCTGTAACTTGGTCTGTTACCAAATTTTACTGTGGAACATTCCGGACAAAGCAATAAGATCTCCATGGAGAAAAGCATTTGACGAACTCTCCACCAGAAAAGTTACATAATACCCCTTTAAAACAATAGTACACAACTTGCAGAGGTGGGTGGAGTAAAAGTCGAAGTAAAAGTAAGAGTCAGAGTAATGTTACTTCAGAACAATATTACTCAAGTAAAAGTGCAAAGTAGTGGTCAGTAAGTATAAAAAGTATTTGGAAAAAGTACTTATAGAGTAACTGTAAGTAATATCTGAGTTATAATTTGAAGTTAATGTAATTTGATGATTACAAAACATGAAATCATGCACAAAATCTGCCATTTCCAAAAGATAAACACAAAAATAAGACAAACTCAATCATAGAATGAAACACATATGTTCAAATCATTTCAGATTGTCACATAAAGCTTTTGTTACTATAGACTCATTCACAGTGAGAAATGGAACCACATCTTTTATTCAAGTAAAAGTACTGTTACTTCAATAAAATAATACGAGTCTGAGTAAATGTATGGAGCTAAAAAAGTACTCCAGTGAATCTAACTACCTACTCCTGACAACCTGAAGTATTTACATAAAGTTAAAAGTACCACAGATTACTCAAGGTTTATAGTTTGAACACAGGCTTTTTCCAATAATATTAAAGGGCCCATCTCATGTAAAATAATTATTTTCACATTGTATCTTCTGCACATAAACAAGCACAATTTGGGTTTTGGAACATCCATTACACAATAGTTCTGAAATCTTACTGATTTCTTGGAGACAGTCACAAACCAGGAACTATGAAAGACCGACTATTGCTCCTCCCCCCCGCCCTCCCTGAGAAAGCACAAGCTCCGCCCTCCAAACGTGATGCAGGCTCTGAGTGAGTCGCCCTTCCTCCGCCCATCTCAGGGAGGGAGGGGGAGACAGACGTGCACCCTGATAGTGGTAGGAATAAACTTTTATTCATCATGGAGATACAGCGCGTACAGCCTAGGGATGGGCATGATTAGTCAATTAATCGATAATTGATCATTAAGAATTTCATCAATTACGTTAATTTTAAACGACAAACCAAATGTAGTTTGCTGTGCGTAACATGACCAAACAGGGGTCTGTACATGTGTCTCTCTGCATCAGAAGGAGCAAGATACAGTCGTTCAGTCTGCAACGTACCGAAGCACAAATGCATATTTAACAATGACTTGTACAAGAAATTCCACGCTTTCTGTTGCGTTCGGGACAAGTGTGAGTCCATGAGTCGCGCAATGTGGATGACGAGTCCCCACCTCCCTCCCCCCGTACGGTGTCCTGGTTTTGACAAACGCAAATATGGTCACACTAACCTGTATTCCACTGAGTCATGTCTTTTAATCCGACAGAAGTTCAACCGCATCAGCGACACAAGAGCTGTAGTTTTATCTTCGCTTAGTTTATGCAAATGAGCGATGCGGTTTTAAGTTTTGTTTCTGTGAGAGTTGAGCAAAACTGAATTAAACACATTCTAATCTCAAACGGGCTGATGTGGCTCTAGAGTCGTTATGGTTTATATGTCGTAAAGTTGAATTTATTTATGCAGATTAATAGGGCAGATAGTAATAATAATGATGATCATTTTTATATAAAAACGTTAATCAATCGTTGGAAGAATTAACGATCGATTATCGATTAATCATTAAGAAAATTTCATCGAATGCCCATTCCTAGTTCAGCCGCATGTGTTGGACCCAGAATCGGATGAGGACTTTGAGGAGCACGAAGCTCAAGCACCGCGTCCACATCAGCTGCCACTTTATTGATGGGTAAAGTTTTAATAAACACTAGTAGATCAACTTATTATATCGCGTTCACTGCAGTGGAGAACGATGATCTTATGCTGTCACTTTTGTTTAAGTGTTCATGTGGGAATTGTCAGTTGATGGGTGGAGGGGGGCGGGTGTGAAGCGCTTTCTGTTACGTCAAACGTGTCAGGTGTATCTGCCGCTTCATTGTTGTAGTAGCTTTAGTTCATTGTCACGTGGGAAGGTGGCAGAAATACACTGCAATTTGTTAAAAAAAGACACAGAATCAATCTAAAAACCACATGGGTGACAAATACAAGGCCCACACACTCACTCTTAGAAGGTAGAAAGCTCTGAAAAGTAGATTTTTTTCTTGAGATGGGCCCTTTAACATTCAAATCATTTCATATTGTCACATAAAGCTTTTGTCACGTTAGACTTACTCAGCGGGAAGAGGAAGCACAAGTTTTACTCAAGTAAGAGTACTGTTACTTCAAGAAAATAATACAAGTTTGAGTAAATGTACGCTGCTAAAAAGTACTCCAGTGAATCTGAGTACTACCTACCTCTGACAACCTGAAGTATTTATATGAAGTTAAAAGTACCAAAGTTTACTCAGAGTTTAGCTTGAACACAGTTTGTAACACATACATTACAGGTCTTATATTACACAAAATAGACTCTTGTGAACTGTTAGAATGTTGTTACCATCCCAAAAACAGAGCTAGAGTTGTGTTTTGTTTTTTTCAGTTACTCACTCTTCAGCACTTCCTGTATTACCATGTGACATCACAAGGTGGAACAGTGTTTTCGGGTTGTGTGTTAAACATGTGCGAATGAAACAAAACACAGCTCCAGGTCAGTTTCACAGTTTGGTAATGAGAGGTCTATAGTTTGTATCCGAGTCCACTTCGGCTGATGTGGCAGAACAGCGTCATGGCGAAACACATCCCCAAAACCTGGAAAAACAATAAAAATACAGTTAAACAAAATACTGTATTTTTCGGACTATGAGGTGCACCGGATTATAAGGCGCATTAAGGGAAACAAACGGTTGACACTTGAGACTGATCCTTTGCCTAGACCTCTACGATCCATTGGCAGATCGTGGAGGAATGTGGATTATGAATGTGAATGTGGGTGGGTCAGAGGGAACTACATAGACCATGATCCTTTGCTCCATTTCAGTGTAGACTACAAGAAGAAATAACAGTTCTAACACGTTCAGACTGCAGAACTTAATGCTCAATTTTTTTATTTTTTTGTGTGAAATCCGATGTTTTTGCGAGGTCGTTCACATTTCCAATTAAATGTGACTTGTATGTGACTCCAGTGTGAACATTAAACGGCCCAAAAGTGTCCCGCATGTGCACTGGAGACACGACGACGTCAACCGCAGTGAGCGTCTCTGTGTTTATGGAAGTTGTCCAAACATGGACGCAGCATCGAAGCACCTGGAGATTTTAAAGTTCCTCTCGTAGCGGAGCCAGAACATGAACAACTTACTTGTTTTAAGGAGGAGATTGAGAAGGAGAAGGACGAGGTTTTTGGCCGTGGCTTTTTTTGTGAGCTCATTATCAATTTTCGTATGATGAGAAGAACATTTGTGTACATTTGTGAGCGCCTACTTGTGCCACTCTCATGGGAGGAAACACATCTTCGGCAGCCTATTTCCGTGAGTAAACACATCAGCCAAACTCTTTGGTATAGCCAAGTCCACTGTGTGATAACATGTAGATTGGATGAATGCACCTTGTCCATTCAGACTGAAGTCACATGTCAAAATATCAGATATGTACAGTACTTATTACTACTTTTACCTTCCACCACTGTATAAACATCATCACAACAAATAACAGATATTTGTGAATCATACGTCATACTAGCAAGCAGTGTTTTTTTTTTTATTATTATTATTATTTATTCATAAGATTAATAAATCTTATCTGTATGCCATATCACATCACCATCACAAGGTGGAACAATATGTAGGGTTTGTGTGTTGAACGTGTGTGAATGAATCAAAACACAACTCCAGGTCTGTTTGTGACGAGGAAACGACATTAAAAACACAGATCAGAAAACAGCGTCAGATGAGTGCTTTAAAAAGTACTTCAGTCGTAGTAACAAAATATATTTACCTCAACAATGCAGAGAACAATGACAACGATCCCACTGGTCAGAAAATAGTCCTCAAAAAGCACCTTTGCTTTCTCAAAACAGCCCTAAAATGTGACGAAATAGTGATTTAATATTGAAATACAAAACATGTCTTTGTGTTTTGTTGGTACCGTTTTGTAGTAGGTTGGTGCGTCTGGGTTACAGGGTCTGATGCAACAGGACTTTGGGATTTTACCCTTCCAATCTGACTCATTCTTAACTCCACAACACTCCATCTGAAATCACATTTTAAAAATAAATCAAATATAGAAGGAATCTGAGCAAATCTTTACTGCTGCTCCACTAAAGAAGCGTTTGGAGCCTCACTCTGTACTGTGTAAAAAAAAGTACTACAGGTACTACTACAGCTGCACATGGACTGTCAGTGTTGGTCAGATCACTGTGGAAAAAAAATCTAATTACTGATTACTCCTTCAAAAAGTAATCGAACCACTACTCTAATGGCTTTACTTCAAAAGTAATCAAATTACTGATTACAAAGACATGAATGGAGTATGAAACTATGGGAACTGTGCAATAATGGACTGTGCAATAATGGAACTATGTAATGAGTGGAGTGTGCAATATTTTAGTATCTGGCCCCTGTGACTCCAGCCCTTGGGACAACAGATGGAAATGAGCCTTGGGCTACAATCCGGTGTGTTTACATTCATGTTGTCATGTTTGTTTATTAACATGCTGTCCCAATCAAATAAATAAATAAAAGTACTTTTACTTTTTTTAAAGGAGCACACAAACATTCTGCAATAAGAATTTTATTGCAAGTGCAATTCCTGTAGAGCTGCTGGTGTTGATCTTCCACCACCTAAGTGACACTGGACTAGTGTTGTGTGTACTCGCCCAGATGAGGCCATATCATGTGTGTTTGTGTGTGTGTTTGTGTTTGTCACTGGAGAAACTCTTTTCTCCTGATGTGTTCTGTCTGTCTGATTACTGTCATGAGTTACTTAGTACTTGCCCAACACTGGTGCCTAAACTTTTTAGGTTTAAACCAACTGGATTTCCGCAGTGAAACTGGCGGCCCAAAGAAGAGACTCACATGAGTCTCACTCTGCTTTCTGATTGGATAATGATCTCGACCCAAAACACCAAATTATAAACTAAATAACTTGTCTGTCATGTCCCATGTTTGTGTAACTCAGAGCTGTTTCTGAGAACTGTTGTAATGTTGATTTATTCTGTTTGTTTTGAACATGTTTCCCTCATATCTGGGAGAAGATAGAAGGTCAGATTTATGGAATTCAAAACACACTTTTACAGTTGCTTTAAAACGTGATATGTGTCACTGCCCACTCTTTGAAATGTGTCCTGTGTTTAAATGTTTTTCATTATCTGGGACATTTCAAATAATTCATATTTTCCTTTTGTTCTTATTTGCATTTATAGTCTCCTCACCTTCTCCTGAGTCACGTCCCAAAAATTGATACTCGTAGAATTGTCCGTTTTTTCTATAGTCTTCTTCAGGGTCGCTGTCAGATCTTCCTCGAGCCAAGTGGAAATCTGTCAAAATAAAACAGGACAGTAGAAAAATTAAATCAAATGTTAAAGGGCCCATATGACGTTGCTGAGTTCTTCTCTCAAATAGAAAACAAGTGTTTGAGTAATCCTTTATTATTAGTCTGTCTACATCTCCAAAGCTCAGAATTCTCTGTTCCACCTTGTGACGTCATGTGGTGATACAGGAAGTGCTCCACTGTGTTTTTAAACTCCATACACCTTCACTAGAATCATTTGGATACTTCTAACTCTGGAACTGCCAATCTCTACTGAACTAAAAGTAAAAGGAGCTGTTCACTTTAACTACCACTTCATGACATCACAAAGTGGAACGGAGCATTTTGGAGCTATAGACATATTAAAGGATTACTCAAACACACTTTTTTTTTTTTTTTACATTTTTGCTATCAGTTTTCAATACCAGTACTTTTGTAAACACGGGGTAATTATCAGTAATCAAACTGAGTCCTCAAAATGGCGTCTGTAACATGAAATAGCAGTTTTAGCTGAAGCCATGAATACAATTTCAGGTATATTATTTTTATTATTAGATATTTTCATCCAGTTCTGGAAACATAGCTTGTACCCCACTAAGATCCCACAAACATATGGAGAAAAGATGTCAGGTGTCTTGCCCAGTAGCACAGAGGCAGTACTGAACTGAACCACAGAATTTTTTAAGAAGTCAAACTGCTCTTACGTCGTTCTCGTAGAGCAGAAGCAGACAGGCCGCAGTGAGCTCAGCCAACATCAGGATGAAGAGCATCAAGAAGAACTGAAAAAAAAGAAGAAAAAAACAAAACAAAAACCATCAGATATTTGAATGAAACTAAATACAACTTCAGGTCTGTTTTTGAGGAGGGGATAAACATTCAAACATGACTTCAAACTCACTCTGTAATATCAGACTGTTAAACTCCAGTCCAATCATAATACTTTTGAAAATTCTAAGATTTCTCTACTATAAGGTTACGTTTACACTTAAACAAATCACTGTATCACCGTATCGAAAGCGTTCTGCGTCCAGACACGTCGTTTCTGTGTCCACAAGTCTTCCCTATTCACATAACTTTGAGCAGATTTGTTTACATTTTACAGAAACTAAACTTAAAACCGCATGGCTCATTTGCATAAACAAAGCACTTAAACAGGTCGCTATTGTGCGCTGATGTGGTTCAACTTCTGTCGGACTAAAAGACATGACTCAGTGGAATATGAGTGTTCTCTCTGTGACAGAGGGGTGTTCTGCTGATGGTGAGTCTGTTCTGTGTTTCTGTCGTGTTGGAGACGGTTCATGTGAAACTTTTCAGACATTAAACGTCTGCAGGTCGTACACACAGACACACGTTTATATGAATGGAAAGATGTTCTAGCCTCTTAGTGTTTTGGCGGTGAATTACTTTGCGGCGCACAGAACTACATCAGAGTATCAGTGTTTTCAGGCGTCCACACAGTGCCGGATCAGATCTGTACTCAGATGAATTCGTGGGAGCTGGAAGCATCAGATCATTTGGTCTCTGGAGCCGTTTTCAATTGTATTAGTGTGGACAAACACTACATCTGCAACAAAAACGACTCTAATACAAACTAGTGTGGACGGGCCTAAACTTCAGGATGAACATTCTAGAATCCCTATAGTTTTTACAGGACAGGTCAAAAGTTTATGGTAGAATTTGCCTTTGGACTTAGAATGCAGATTTAGATGTTGAAAAGAGATACATTGATATTTGGGCTGACATTTGCACTTTTTATGGTATCAGGTATCGTTTTAAACCTCCAGCACAGACCGATATTTTGGAAAGAATACACACAAAACTTGATTTGAGTGCAGAAAGGGCACTGCAAAAATGTGCCTCCACTGTCATATTTTCTCTATAAAGATAGAGAAAATGGCTTTAAAGTTTTAACATCATTCCTGATTTGATCTTTGACCTCTGAAAAAAAGTTTGGGAAACCCTGCTTTAAAACATGTCGCAGTATCTGTATCTGTGAGCCGTGTGCATTGTGGATTCCTACACCAACCGTGTAGGCTCTCGGGAAGATCAGAGTGGGTCCTGGGGTCGTAGCTTTGTGACGCACTTGGAGGCTGTTGTACATGCTGAGATCAAGAATGTGTTTTGGACATTTATTATCAGATGAACACCGATCACAGCGCAGCAAAGAGGATGGATGGGACCAGCTAGAAGAACTAAAGATGAGAATGTAAATAATGGTGGTCAACAAAAATTACATCTACGCAGCACTGACCTTCAACAAAATACAGGTAAGTGTTCGCTTTTACACTTGTGCACCAGTAAAACAACAGAACAGTGCAGTATCAGTGTTTGAATTTTAAATCAGTTACCGAATCGAGACAGAGATGAGCCTTAGAACTTTGTCAGAATTGAGTTAAGACCAAAAATCATCTGTAAAACTCCTGCTTTATTTGGTGACAAAGTACATAGTTGCAGAGTCTACCTTTCTAGGACAGTATAAGTCTTTGGTTAATATACATATATAAATATATATATACTCGGATTACTTGACATTGTCATGCTTTTTAAAATTACATGAATGTACCAACCAGATCCTGAACATTCTTGTTTGTTCTTTTCAGATTGTCTGTTGAGCCCAAGTCTCCATGAACAGCCTTTTGTTTTACTGTAGAGAAACAAAGACTAGAATCGAATCTTAACTTAAGATGTTTTGTCTACTTAAAGACAATAAAAAGCCCAGTCTTTCCTTAACCAAATTAAAAATATTATTGATAGAGAAATGATTTTTTATATGAGATCACTGCTGCCTTAAATTATGTCCACCTACTGTTAGGTGTCATACTGTTTAGACCTGGTTTAGTCCAAATTTTTTCCTGGTTTAGTCCTCGTTTAGACATGGTTTTACTCCCAGTTTTAATCCTGGTTTTAGTCCTGGTTTAGCCCAAAATGTGAAAACAGGAAAATACCCTCATTTATTTCAACAAAGTAACTGTAATCTAATTACTCATACACATTTGAAGAAAATAATTAAAATGGACCCAGCGCATGAGCCCTAAAATGTCTACAGAGCTTTTTGGCAGCCAATTTCAAATTCTACTAATTCTAAACAATCAGTATCGGCCATGACAACATGTAATATAAAAAGTAACTTCTCTGTAATGACTTCTATCCAGTATGACGTCTATCCACATGAAACTGAAACTAACACAAAGGTCAGCGTCTTCCTGTATAAATAACAATAACACAAATAAACCCCACTGAAACCATTTTTGCACAGAAGCCTCTGACACTGGAGCCATACGTCAACCACAAACACACTCTGATGTCAGGAAAACACTGTAAAGGTGCACAGTGTCACTTTTCTGGGGGAGGGTCCCTCAAGTGCTTTTCTCCACACTATGGTATTAAACTTTTCTATCTTCACGGAGACCAAACCAGACCAAGTTACAGGTCAGATCTGTGGAGAGGCGACCCCGCTCACAGTCAGAATGTCTGTTTTTCTAGGTATTTTTGAGCTGTAAAACCACCTGTAATTGAATAAATGTAGTAAAAGTAGAGCTGTTTAATGTCACACTGTGGGATTTCACACAGAGCAATGACATCTCCATAGAAACAAGCAGGAGGCAGTCCAAAACAAATATTGAGTGTGTATACATGCACATCAGTATCCCGGTGAAGACAGGATTCGGGATACTTTTGCGGTCTTGCTGTTTCACAGATTTTTGTAGTGTAATTTTGCATGCTTTTATTAATTTATTTTTTTTACAGGCTTATTTACAATTGTAGAACTGAGTTGATTTTTAGATTTCACTATAAAGGCAGAAGAAAAGACATTTCAATCTGTGTATCATTCGTTCATTCATTTTTCAATATAAAACCAAAAATAAGAAAACGAAAACAGAGAAACAAGAAAACAGTTTTCTTCATTATTTGTCTCCAAAACCAAAATGAAAAAAATGGATAATGATTAGTTTTTTCAGTTTTTGATTTTGTGTTTAAATGAAGAATGGAAAAAAAAAAAACGATAAACGTTTCCTGTTAACGTGACTTCTGTGACTGCGATGCCGAACTGTTGCACCACTACGGACTGAACCAGGACTGATCCAGATCTAGGACCACACCGGGACCAGAGCAGGACTGAGACCAAAACCAGACTGGGACCAGATCGGGACCAGACCGAGACCAGGCTGGGACCAGACCAGGACCAGACCAGGACTGAGACCGAGACTAGGCCAGGACCAGACCCGGACCAGACTGGGACTGAGACCGGGATTGAGACTGGGACCAGACCAGGACCAGGCCGGGAACAGGCCGGGACCAGACTGGGGGTTCAGAGCCCACGGCAGGGTCGGAGCTCAAAGCTGAGGCTTGGACCCTGCGGAGGCTCGGAGTCAAAGCTCGGAGTCCGCTCTGGTTCCGCTTTGGTCCCGCTCTGGTCCCGGACCTGTATCAGTCCTGCTCCCATCCGTATGCAGTGCAAAAGTCCGACATCACAGTCATGGAAGTCACGTAAATGGTTGTTATCTGTTTTTTCATTTGGTTTTGGAGACAAATAATGAAGAAAACTGTTGTTGTTGTTTTTTTTTTCATTTTCTTATTTTTGGTTTTATATTGAAAAACAAATGAACGAATGATACACGGATTCATTTCACTCCCAAACGTCAAGTCCCCAAATACAAGTTCTACCATAAAACAGCCCACGTGATTCTGAACTCTTGTAATCATGTTTAAATTACTGACACTGACCATTAACAGTAAATAAGATACATTGTCATCACTTTCTCCATTTAATCATGTGGCTTTATAAAGTTTTCCGGTTCAAAAACTACTTTCTGTTCTGTATTTTCTCAACAACACGTTAATTAAAACCCTCCGCTTATATATTTCAGCCCTCGTATGAGTCATGATCTCAAATGTAGGGTCAGTATAACTCTAAGGGACTTTATTTTTGAATGTGGTTTCATTCACATGTTTAACACACAAACCTGCACATTTAGACTGAGTAATCTGTGTGTCATTCGTTCATCCATTTTTCAAAATAAAAACAAAAACAGGAAAATGAAAAAAATTACTATTTTCTTCATTATTTGTCTCCAAAACCAAAATGAAAAAAACAGATAACGATTCACATAAATATATAATTGTAACCACTGTTGGGCAAGTGACTTTAAAACTGTAATGTGTTATTTCTGACTTGTTAGTGTCATTTCAAAGTCATTCATTACATTACAATATTACTGCATTTAAAATGTAAAATATTACATTTACTATTGCAGCACTTTTAAGTTACTCTCACCAAAATAACTGTGAAGATGCTGAACTCTGGCGCTGTATATGGACTGAACCAGGACTAAACAAAGACTAAACCAGGACTGAACCAGGACTAAAGCAGGACTAAACCAGGACTAATCTTGGACTAGAACTTGGGGTAACATTTTATAATAACTACTTATTTAGCCTTAATAAAGCATGAACAAAGGCTTAATTAATAATGATTCACGCTTAGTAACTACTTAATTACTACCTTAATTAGCACTTGCACTTAATTTGCCTGTGCTGTAAATAGTTACTCATAATTATTTCATACTTAATTACTCATGGACTAACCATTTGAGCATTTATTAATGATTAATAAGCTATGAGAGAATGATTTACCAATAATTCAATGCAATGATCATTCAGGCAGCTGTTACCTGTTAAGTCTTTTTGAGAGCTTTTCTTAAGTGAAGACAAATGATGCTTTATTAAGCATTTACTAAGCGTGAATCATTATGAATTAAATCTTTGTTCATTATTAATTAAGTCTTTGTTCATGCTTTATTAAGGCTAAGTAAGGTGTAGTTATTATAAAGTGTTACTGAACTTGGAATGTAGGACAGCCCCTGAGAGAACCCCCGAGCGCAACTGGGCGTCAGCTGCGTTTAGCTCCGTGGAGCGTGAAGTTCTGTGTCGGTCTTTTTGCTCGCGGTCACCCGACGGTCTACACGGGCGCGCCTCCAGCGTTTCACTGCTGCTGATATCACGGTGATTTTATAGAATTTGTATTTAAAAAATCGAAAAACCCACAACTTCAATATAAGTTAAAAGAGCATTGTAGCGTTACTCACATTTGTACCGGGTAAAATATTACCACTTTTTTCCCTGTAATGCCACATTACTGCGTTACAGCAAAAGCAATGCATTACAGTCATTCATTACTTTTATAAAGCGTTACTCCCAACACTGATCTTAACTGTGTTTTAGTTAAATGAGTCAGTGGTGGAAGGTACAAAAGTAAAAGTACAATACTTTACAATTTTTAAGTATCTGTACCATAGTTAAGTTTTTTTGTTTTTTTTACAATGGATAGTTTTAATTTACTTCACTACATTTGTGATCATGTATCTGTACTTTCTACTCTACTTTTTTTTTTTTCATGTGGTACTTTTACTTTTAGTTAAGTAATCATTTGCCCCTGTATCTGTACTTTTACTTAAGTAACAAAATAGAGTACTTCATCCATCACTAAAATACTGAAATAAGTAAGCTAAACTCAGAACATAACAATAGATTTACTTAAGTAGATTTTTTTATCATTTATTTTTTTTCATGTGGTAATTTACTTTAACACTTGTGGGTAAATGACAACATATTTTATCGGAAGTGCCATTCATTTAGACGGTGAGGGTATTTTTGGGGCTTAAAAATGCAAAAATCTGAAACCATCCTCCAGAGCGTTTCCTTCTACACTGCCCAAGACACAAAACTCTGGTCAGATCTGCTCACGTCCAGTACACAGAAACAAACATCGGATCATTTCCATGCGTCAGACCTTCAACCACCACCAAGCCACCTGGCATTCATGTCCAATAGAATTCCACACACTTTTGCGTCATCGTATGTACGCAGATTTCCTCCCGAAAACGCTAATCTAAACGCGGAATAAAATGTGTGAAGTGTGAATGTGCCACTTTTGCATCTTCTGTTCAGACCATCATCATATAAACGTAGCCTAAACAACAAAAAGTAGTACTTCATCCATCACTGAAAAGAATAGGCTAACCTTAAAACATAACATAAGCCCAAACCAGTCCAAGTGTGTGGCCTTACCGTGAGCAGTAGACAGCGGTTCTCTCTGAGCGCGCCCAGAAAGCCCAGGAAGGACACGCAGGTGATGATGATGCCCGTGATGATCAGAAGATGGGCCAACTCCAGCCCCGCCAGAGAAGGAGCGATGATGGCCGCCTCACTCACGATCATGTAGCTGCCCAGACCCAACACGCCGATGCCAGAGAGCTGAAACCATCACACGAGAAGGTCAACGGTCAGTTCAGTTGTGTTTTGTTTCATTCACACGTTTAACACACAAACCATGCACATTTAGGAGTTACGAGAAATGTTCCACACACCTTTGCTAGAGTCATTTGGATAATTTTAGCCCTGGAATTGCCAATCTCTGCTAAACTAAAGGTAAAAAAGAACTTGAAAACTTGAAAGCAGAGGAGATGTAGACAGACTAATAATAAAGGGTTATTGTCTACATGCTGCCATTAGGCCAGTTAATACGCAGCAATAATGTGTCCTACCACAATTATGCAGACGACACTCAGACCTACGTCTCACTGCAGCAGGAGACTTTGGACCAGTGGACTCACTTTGTCACTGTCAGTGTGTGGAGGCAAAACAACTTTCTCCAGCTAAACTCACACAAGACTGAAGTCATAGAAACAAAGAGACAGTGTCAGCAGTCACCTCCAGTCTCTCTCTCTAAAACCTTCAAATCAGGCACGAAATCTCGGGGTAATAATGGACTCAGACTTGAACTTTAACAGCCACATCAAATCAATAACATCTGCAGCCTTTTACCATCTAAAAAACATAGCAAAAATCAAAGGTTTACTGTCTAAATCAGACTTGGAGAAACTTATCCATGCGTTTGTCTCCAGTAGGTTAGATACTGTAATGTTCTGCTCACTGGTCTCTCCAAACGAGCTGTGAGACGCTGCAGAACATCCAGAACGCTGCAGCTCAAGTCCTTACTAGAACTAGGAAGTACGAGCACTTAAGTCCTGTGCTCAGGTCTCTGCAGAGAATAGACTTTAAAGCAGCTCTGCTTGTACAAGTCTCTCCATGGCCGAGCACCAAAGTACATCTGTGTCATATGAACCATCTCGCACTCTGAGGAGCTCAGGGACCGGCCTCCTGCTGGTGCCCAGAGTCAGGACTAAACAAGGGGAGTCAGCGTTTCAGGTTCACACAGCTAAAACCTAGAACAATCTTCCTGAACATGTGAGACAGGCCTCTTCTTTGACGCTATTTAAATCCAGGCTCAAAACGGTTCTGTTTCACTGTGCATATGACTGAAAGGTTTTCATTCCGCACTCTTGTCCACATGAATCATCTGCACTCTGAGGAGCTCAGGGACCGAACTCCTGCTGGTGCCCAGAGTCATTAATAAACACTGGGAGTCAGAGTTCAGTTTTATGAAGCTAAACCTGGAACAGTTTTTAGCTGAACATGTGAAACAGACTCTATTGTGACTTTGTTTAAACCCAGACTCAAAACTTCTGTTCTGTTCAGCTGTGTATGACTGAAAGTTTAAAATTTTTCATTTCGCACTCTTTTCTCAAATTTAATGTCTCTCTCTTTTTAATTTTATGATGATTATTTATGTTTTGATTTGTTTATATTGTGATTTTAATGTATTTCTTATTCTGTGAAGCATGGTGAATGATTTTGTGTATAAATTATGTTAAATAAACTTGCCTTGCCTACTCAAAGAGCTTTACGTCAAGGAAACACTCAACCGTTCACAAAGACATTCAAACACCAGTGCACACAAAGACTGGGGGCGAGGTGCGTTAAGTGTCTTGCAAAAGAACACAACAACAATAACACCCTTCATCTGTGGAAGTCTGCGGAAATTCAAGCAAATACTGATCATGACAGTTTCTGCCTTCTGCCTTTGCTCATGACACAAAGGCAGAGAACAGGAACTGACAAATAAGGGTAAAGGGTGAAGTAAGTTTTGAAATCAATATTTTTCGCAAACAAGTATTTTCTTCATGATACCATCTAGATGTCAGATTTTGGGAGCCCTACCTATTGTTTGGACAAAACAGAAACTTTGAAGTCATTTTTCTCAGTTTCACACGCTGGCAGGTTAAGGTCTTTAGTCTTTATAGGGCAGTGTTGTTGTTCCAGTTAAATCAATACTTTCTCACATTGTGTAAAATTAAAGCTCAGGTTAAGTCTAACTTAAGTCTAACAGAGTAAGGCAAAGGACAAACTCAATGTGTCAACTGGACAAAAGTTTATTTTGGTGAAATATGTTTCGCAGCTCTACTGTAAACAAGTGTGTGTGTTAGTTTCAGAGTAGTTTCAGTGAAGTTAGCTCCTCCCTGCAGACAGATATAAGGAAGTGTCCACCAGCCTCTGACCACAGCTGAAGAAGCAGCTTGGATGAACTGAGAAACATCTTCAACCAAAATAAACTTTAGTCCAGTTGACACATTGAATTTCTCTTTTGCCATGGATTCTACTTGCATGATTCATCAGCCAGTTTCACTTTGTGGAAAATGTCTGACCTCGCAGCATTAGGAGTTGTTCGCTTAACGGTAGGCGAGTAGTTTTTTATTTAACCAGTCGCTCCTATTTGGTCGTGACGTATGTAATGCTAACTGGTATCTTAAGCTTTTCCTAAATCCCGTAGGACAGGGGTGTCAAACATGCGGCCCAGGGTCCAGATCCGGCCCTCCAAGACCTTTAATCTTTCCCTCGGTTGATTTTCTACTAAAAATATTTGAATTATATTTTCTATTAAAATATTGGTAATTTTCTGTGGTGTTTATCACAGCAGTGTCTCCAGCGTCTCTGTACGTGGCCCCTCCCACCAGAGCAGCACAAATGAAGACTTGTCTCTTTCCAAACGCTCTTAAAGGACGATCATTTTGACTGTTGACAGTGACACCTTCATCAGCAAAATGTCCAACATGAGAAAAGTTCATGTTAAAACATTGTGTTGAAATTGCATTTTTCTTAAAGTTTCAGGTTGTTCATGATATTATAATACTTTGTAAAAGAAAGAGTTCATCAATTAAAAAATATTTCTGTAATAGATTTGTGTTTCTCTGCATAAATATTTGAACTTATTGTTATTTTTGGGGTTTATATGACATGAGTTTTCTGATCTGGCCTCTTTTCGATCAAAGTAGGTTGGATACAGCCCCCGGACCAATATGAGTTTGACACCCCTGATGTAGGAAGAAGGACAATAATGTCTTTCCCCTTGATAAAATTCACCAAACATTCTCTTTGTTCTGGCTTTAAATCCTTGATCTCGGGAATCGTTACCAACAAAGAATATATGACTCTTCGCTGATTGGCTGGTGCCTGAACTCACACTTCCGGGATTTTTGCAAACCGTCTAGTGTATTCTAATTCCTGACCTAGTCGCTGGAGAGAAATGAAACTGAGCGGAGGCACTAGGTGGCGCGAGCGTGGTTTGGATTCTACCTGGATGATTGAGGGATTTTAGTAATAGATCTTCTAACACAGCAGTGCTGTCAGTTAGTGCCACACCACAGGAGAATGTTGATCACATCAGATGCAAAGTATGAATCATAACCAAATAAATAGGCCAAAAAAAACCCTACAACTTTACAACGTTTCCCTTTTTTGCTCGTAGTAGGCCCATACGGTGAATTTAAAACAGAATAATCATTAGAAACACTTACAAAACACAAGAAGTTCGCTACACACATGGTGATCTTGAGACATTTCAGACAAGCCTGAGCCATGGTGACGTCTTTGATTAAACCTGAAAAAGATCAGATAAAAAACACACATTAAACACATGATTCGAGAGGATTTTAAATGCACTGTGTTGATATCTGCTAGCTCCTCACAGCAGACAGGAAGTTGATGTCACTCACTTCCTGTGTTCCATTTTATTTTACTATCTCTGCACTGGCCGCAAAGAAAGCAACCGCACTTCCTCATTGTAAAAAATTGATAACATTATAAAAAGATTAGAATCACCTACTGAGTCTGTGTTGTTTCCAATTATTACTACTACAAGAACAGACTTTTCACATCCTCAGAATCGTCAGAATGTTTCAAATTCAGGAAGTGAAGCAGACAATATATAGTTTCAGTGATGGGTTTTACAACATTTTAATAAAAATAAACAACAATTTAGATTTTCCAAGGTACATATGTTAGTTCATTTGCTTCTCTGTAAAAATTATGAGTTAAAATGTCTGAGAGTGCGTAGTGTCTAGTGTAATCTTTTCTTAAATGAACAAATGACATAAAAATGTGTAAGTGTTTTCATATCAGACTCTGGTATCACTCGCTTGTGTCAGAGTGGTTTTCATTTGACAAATTTCACTTTTCACATTTGAATTTTTCAGATTGTGTGATATTCTGAAGTTAATCCCAGTTCCCCATTAAAATCACATTATATTTTGCCTCTATTCTGGAATTTAGAATGTTTTTGTTTACACATTTGTAACTTTTCAAAGAGTTGAAAGGTGATTTTTAGATTTTAGAATGTGATAATGTTGTACTTCTAGACGGGGTTTTCCTTTTAATAGCATTGTACTTTGCCAAGAAATATCCAAAATTCACAAATGTGGAACCTGAATGCAGTTGAAGAGTGAAGTGTGAAGTTGTCCAGGTAGAATCCATGGCGAGGAGAAGATTCAGTCAGACGTTTCGCAGCTCATCCAAGCTGCTTCTTCAGTTTTGAACTGAACTGAACTGAAGAAGGAGCTTCGATGAGCTGCGAAACCAAACTAACTTTAATCCAGTCGACAAACTGTATTTTCTCCACGGCATGGTTCCATAAAATTATCTAATCTCTGCCTACTACTTTTATTCTGTTACTCTGACGAATATTGAGACCAAAAGAAAAAGAATCCCTCTTTATTTTGGCATGTTGTCACGTTTTACGTTTTCAAATTTTCTGTCATGGAGCCTTTGACATACTTTCATTTATACTTTTGGTTTAAGAAAACATTGTACATTTAAGTTAAGAAGGGAAGAGTTGAAAAATGAAAATGTTGCTTGTTGCTTGTATCCAAGTGGTTTTCATTTGACAAATTTCACTTTTCTGAAGATATTCTGATATTCTGAAGATAATCCCGATTAAAATTGCATTATATTCAACTTCACTTTTGCCTCCATTCCAGAATTTCGAATGTTTTTGTTTACACATTTATAACCATTCAAAGAGTCTATTGGTGATTTTTAGATTTTAAAATGTGATAATGTCGTACTTCTAGACGGGTTTTTCCTTTTAATAACATTGTACTTTGCCAAAAATATCCCAAATTCATAAATGTTGAACTTGAATGCAGTTGGTTCTATAAGATTATTTGATCTCTGCCCACTATTTATATTCGGTTACTCTGTCAAAGGCTGCATGATAGAAAATCTGAAAACGTAAAACGTGACAATGCGCCAAAATCAGGTTCAGCCCCAATAAAGAGGGATTCTTTTTCTTTTGGTCTCAATATTTGTCATACTTTCATTTATACTTTTGGTTTAAGAAAACATTGTACATTTAAGTTATGAAGGGAAGAGTTGAAAAAATTGAAAATGTCATTATATCCTCATATTTTGATATTCAATTAGTCAGTCCAACATACGCTTCCTAAGATGTTGTTAAATTATTTAGTTGAGGCTTTAGGCAAATGTAAAATGGTTGTAAAATGACCCAAAAAGTGCAAAAATACAGTATCACGTTATTTGGGAGTTTATTTACGAAGAGTTTTTAAAGTTAAAATGTCTGAGAATGCATAGTGTCTAGTATAATCTTTTCTTAAATGAACAAATGACATAAAATGCATTTGTAAGTGTTTTTATATCAGGCTCTGGTATCACTCATGTGTTTGAGTGGATTTCATTTGACAAATTTCACTTTTCACATTTCAGTTTTTCAGATTTTGTGATAATCCCCATTAAAATCGCATTATTCAACCTCCTTTCCTGAATTTAGAATAGACATTTATAACCATTCAAAGAGTATACTGGTGATTTTTAGATTTTAGAATGTGATAATGTCGTACTTCTAGACGGGTTTTTCCTTTTAATAACATTGTACTTTGCCAAAAATATCCAAAATTCACAAATGTTGAACCAGATCATTTCTATTAGTGACTAGACCCAAAAATTGACCTTATTACAAGACAAATCTGCATTTTAACCAACTGCTTTGTCTGTAAGTTTTCACAGTATGGCATTAAACCTGTCTATCACCATGGAGACCAAACCGGACCAAGTTACACGTTGCTCATAGTCACAATGTTTGTTTTTCTAGGTATTTTTGACCTATAAACCACCTGTAACTGAATAAATAGTAGTAAGGTAGAGCTGTTTAATGTGACACTGTGGAACACCCAGGCAGAGCAATGATGTATCCACAGTGTTGGGGAGTAACAGATTACATGTACTGGAGTTACGTAATCAGAGTACAAATTATGAGTAACTGTATATATCACATTTTGGGTTATATCCAATTCTTTTTTCTTTTTTTTTTCTTTTTTTTAACCAGGATTGAACCAGGACTGAACCCGGGACTAAAACCAGGTCTAAACTAGATCTAAACCAGGTCTAAACTAGATCTAAACCAGGACTAAAACCAGGTCTAAACTAGATCTAAACCAGGTTTAAACTAGATCTAAACCAGGACTAAAACCAGGTCTAAACTAGATCTAAACCAGGTTTAAACTAGATCTAAACCAGGGCTAAAACCAGGTCTAAACCAGATCTAAACCAGGACTAAAACCAGGTCTAAACTAGATCTAAACCAGGTCTAAACTAAATCTAAAGCAGGGCTAAAACCAGGTCTAAACCAGATCTAAACCAGGTCTAAACTAGATCTAAACCAGGACTAAAACAGGATTTAACAGGACTAAATCATGCTGCGTGGACGTGTCTCCTCTTCTTCTATCAATAATATTTTTAATTTGGTTAAGTAAATTCTGGGCTTTTTATTTTCTTTTAGCAGACAAAACTTCTTATGTGAAGATTTCCTCGTCTTTGCTTCTCTACAGAAAATCAAGTAATCCAAAGTATTCAGATTACATTACTCACTTTAAGTAATTTAATGGATTACGTTACAAACTACATTTTGGGGTGTGTAATCTGTAATCTGTAGGGGAATACATTTTAAAAGTAACCTTCCCAACACTGCGTATCCATAGAAACAAGCAGTGACGGACCCCAAACCACAAAGTTACACAGTGTAGCTTTAAATAGTATTGACCTATGGAAAGTCGTGAAGCATCTGAACTCCAGTAATACAATTTCTAAGTTAACCTAACTTAGTTTACCCTTAATGTTCATGAATTTGGCCTTTTTATTTTCACATTTTCATCTCATGTTACCAAAGTTCCAAATGCGTACTTAACGAATAGAAGTCTATAGTCAGAGTGGACGTATACGCCGTAAAACCGAGCTATACTGAAACTTCTAATGTCAAGGGATGTTGTAGAAAGCTCGTATTTGTGTTAAAATGTTTCAAAAAGTATGTATTTATTTATTTTTTGTGTATTTATTGGCAAGAAGTATTTAGTTTTGTAGTAATGCAGCCAGTAAAAAGTACAAACGGTGTAATCAGAGGTTAGACCAGACACTTGCTTTAGTGTTGGACTGGGTTGTTTTCTTAAGGGGAGAAAAAAAATCGAGAAAGTTGAGAAAAAAATAAAGACTTTTAGTAAGATTTTCGTATTTACCCAATGAAAAAATATATATAAAAGTTATGTACTATTAAAAAAAAGCTACAAATGTCACTTCGTATGATCACATTTGAACATTATTTTCAAGTTAATATAGAAAGTTCAACCAAAATGTTTGGAGTTTATTTTTTATTATTCTTTATGGTTTTTAGTGTTAGCGTTAAAGGTCGTAAAGAACATTTCTAACTATTTCAGTGTTATATTTTGACAAATCACTATTCGGTGTCGTTAACGCTATTGTTAGAGGTATTGTTCGCGATATTATTAGTGTTACTCTTTCTATGTAGTCAAATAAATCATGAACATACCTTTGTTGAAATGCCTTTGTGTCTCACCTCTGCGTTGTTTCTGTGCGTTCTGTCAGTTACTTCCTCTAATGATATCGCCTTCGCAGCTGTACGTCTCACTTCCTCTTTCTGTGCATTCAATGGAAAAACTCATGATGCTCAAACTGCACCAGCGCAGGGGGCCACCCGAAATATCACCGGGACAAAACCGTGTGAGTCTCTAGATTGGGGTATTATTAGAAAACTGAATACAAATAACCACAGAAGTTACGGTACCCTTACAAGGGTATGAATATTTAAGGACCAAAGACAAGCTGTTGGGGAATGCCATTCTCAAATGTGCATGTTTTTTTTTTTTTTTTTTTTTTTTTTTTTTTTTTTTATGCATGCGTGGAACTATCATTCTCAAGAGCTGAAAACAGTTCGCTTCTACAAATTCTTTATTTTCAGGCAGTGCAGAGGTGGATAGAGTGAAAGTTGTACTCAAGTAGGAGTAACACTACTTCAAATAAAATGAATCAAGTAGAAGTATGAAGTCCAAGAAATGACTCTAGTAGAAGTGCAAAGTCCAAGAAAATACTCTAGTACAAGTACAAAGTCCAAGAAATTACTCAAGTAGAAGTACAAAGTCCAAGAAATTACTCAAGTAGAAGTACAAAGTCCAAGAAATTTCTCAAGTAGAAGTACAAAGTCCAAGAAATTACTCAAGTAGAAGTACAAAGTCCAAGAAATTTCTCAAGTAATGGTAAAACATTATTTGGGAAAACTACTTTTCAAGAAAGAGTAACTTCCCTTTAAGAGTATCTGTTGTGACGTAACATCTTATTTATATTTGAAGGACCAAATATTAAATCATGCACAAAATCTGGTGTTTTCAAAAGAAAAACAGAAAGGAGAAAAAACACAAGTGTTCAAATCATTTAATATTGTCAACATGAAGCGAGAATGCTACATTGCAACAGTAAGAAAACTGTTACTTAATTAAAAATATTACTCAAGTAGGAGTAATATTTTAAAGTATGTTGTTAGAAAGTATTCTGAAAAGTACAATATCTTTATTTAAGTAAATGTAACTGAACCCACCTCTGAATCACAGTGTTGACGGATATTTGTGCGCTTTAAGGTATTGCCAAAATTGTGCTTTAAAAAGAACATGACTTGAAATTATTTGCCATTTGGGAGTGTCCTGAGAAAATAAAACTGTTTTTCCAATTTAAAGAACTAGAACTAGACACGGACTAAAGATGTGATTTGGTAATATTTTAATATTTCAAACAAATCATAATACAAAATGTTGATATACATTGTAAGTTCTCAGCTGCCAATCATGAGTCAGGAAGCTGTTTTAGTTTGACATTTAGCCCCACCCACTTAGTCCTCTTTGCTTCTCTTTGCACCATGACACAGGAACGACACGCGGTTAGTGTCACTTAATACAGTTGGTGTTTCAAGGTTTTCTAATCTCTGTCTATTAGTTATATTCACACTCTTACTTTGTCAAAGGCTCCATGACAGTAAATCTGAAAACATAAATCGAAACAAAGTGCCAAAATCAGGCATTATTTTTCTTTTGGTCTCAATATTGGTCATACTTTCATTTATACTTTTGGTTAAAGGAAATATTGTACATTTAAGTTATGAGGGGAAGAGTTCAAAATGGGCAATATTGACAGAAATGAAAATGTCATTATATCCTCCTATTTTGATATTCAATTAGTCAGTCCAACATACACTTGCTAACATGTTGTTAAATTATTTAGTTGAGGCTTTAGGCAAATGTAAAATGGTTGTAAAATGACCCAAAAAGTGCAGAAATACAGTATCACCTTCTGTGGGAGTTTATTTACGAAGAGTGTTTTTTGTTTTGTTTTTTTTCCAATTTACATCTTAATCGTAATCATGACTTAGATTCAAATTTTGCATTCTCAATATCACTGTCGTCCTATAATCTCACTCAATCTCACTCATAATCAGTGTTGGGGAGTAACAGATTACATATACCGGAGTTATGTAATCAGAGTACAAATGATGAGTAACTGTATTCAGTTACAGTTACTGTTTCAGTGAGTGGTAATTGGATTACAGTTACTTTGTTGAAATAAATGGATTACAGGGTGGTATTTTCCTGTTTTCACATTTTGGGCTAATTTTTTTCATAATTCTACTCATTGCTGGACACTAAACCAGGTCTAAACCAGGTCTAAAACCAGGTCTAAAAATAGGTCAAAACCAGGTCTAAACCAGGACTAAACCAGGTCTAAACCAGGTCTAAATTAGGTCTAAACCAGGACTAAACCAGGTCTAAACCAGATCTAAAACCAGGTCTAAAAATAGGTCTAAACCAGGACTAAACCAGGTCTAAACCAGGTCTAAATTAGGTCTAAACCAGGACTAAACCAGGTCTAAACCATATCTAAAACCAGGTTTAAAAATAGGTCTAAATCAGGTCTAAACCCGGTCTAAACCAGGTCTAAAACCAGGTCAAAAACCAGGTCTAAAACCAGGTCTAAAAATAGGTCTAAATCAGGTCTAAAAGTAAGGTCTAAACCAGGTCTAAAAATAGGTCCAAATCAGGTCTAAACCCAGTATAAACCAGGTCTAAACCAGGTCTAAACCAGGTCTAAACCAGGTCTAAACCAGGTCTAAAACCAGGTCTAAACCAGGTCTAAACCAGGATTTAAGAGGACGAGACCATGCCGTGTGGACCGTGTCTTCTCTTCTTCTATCAATAACATTTTTAATATGGTTAAGGAAAGACCGGCTTTTTATTGTGTGAAGATATTCTAGTCTTTGTTTCTCTACAGCAAATCAAGTAATCCAAAGTATTCAGATTACGTAACTCACTTTAAGTAATTTAATGGATTATGTTACAAACTACATTTTGGGGTGTGTAATCTGTAATCTGTAGGAGAATACATTTTAGAAGTAACCTTCCCAACACTGCTCATAATCAGTTAAACTTGTATTTTCCCACTTGCCACAAGGAGGCCTCAAAATGTAAAGGGTATTATATTTTCAAATGTTTTAATTTATTTTTCAGACAAGTGTAACATTTACAGTATGTTTTAAAATATAACATTTTCCACATGGATATATAAGAGCAAGGAACCACATGTAAATAGGCTGAGTGGTCATGTTCCCATAACGAACCCTGATAGAAGAACATGATCAGATTGAAGTGCACATCCAATTACTCCCTTCTTTCTAAAATTGGGGACCATATAGAAATAACTTTGTAGGACACTCAGTGCATATGGTTTTCATGCATCACTCATTTTTGGACTATAAAGCGCACTTAAAATCCTTTAATTTTCTCAAAAATCGACACTGTGCCTTATGTATTAATTGTGGTTGTGTTTACTGACCTTGAACTGATTTTATGTGGTACACGGCACTCAAAAATCTGTCAAAATGTTTAAGCACGACTTTGGTAAATTACAAAGCTGCACCGCTCGATGGATTGTCAGAGCATTATGGCGAACGTAGCCAGGAGCCGAGCGGAGTTAGTGGACATCAGTGCACGAGGAGCGAGCTGTTTTTTCAGTGCTTATAGTTTATGCAAATGAGCCATGTGGTTTTCAATTTGGTTTCTGTAAAACGTAAACAAATGTGCACAAAGCTGCATTAAACACATTACTCATGTATATTTGAGTCCTCCTCATCTATATATATAAAAATAAAAAATAAAAACTTAAATGATCCACCCACATTTACATTCATAATCCACATTCACCAAGACAGAGAGACACCAGGCGAGTTACACCAAGATCGGATCATGCACACATGGGCTAAAGCAGGGGTGTTAAACTCATTTTCGTTCGGGGGCTGTATCCAACCTACTTTGATCCCAAAGGGGCTGGATCAGAAAACTCATGTCATATAAACCAAAAAAATTACAATAAGTTCAAATATTTGTGCAGAGAAACACAAATCTATTACAGAAATCTTTTTTAATTGATGAGCTCTTTCTTTTCCACAATGTTTTAACATGAACTTTTGTCATGTTGGACTTTTTTCTGATGAGGGTGTCACGGTCAACAGTCAAAACGATCGTCCTTTAAGAGTGTTTGGAAAGAGACAAGTCTTCATTTGTGCTGCTCTGGTGGGAGGGGCCACGTACAGAGACACTGCTGTGATAAACACTGCAGAAAATTACCAATATTTTAATAGAAAATATCATTAAAATATTTTAGTAGAAAATCAACCGAGGTTGATTAAAGGTCTTGGTGGGCCGGATCTGGCCCCCGGGCCGTATGTTTGACACCCCTGAGTTAAAGGATCAGACTCAAGTGTCGTCCGTTTGTTTCTCTTAATGCTCAAACAACTTTACAACAAGAAACCACTCACCCATTTACACACACGCACACACACTGGGGACAAGGTGGGTTAAGTGTCTTGCACAACAACAGCATTCATCTGTGGAAGCTGGAATCACACCACCAACCTGTGGATCTGACCGCTCAACCAACAGACCACATTCACTGAGCCGTCCGGCCAGTTCCACTCTTCCTACTTCACACATTGTGCATCGGGAATTAGCAGAGTTGTGCTAAAATAAATCTGTATTTAAATATCAGACAGACATTATGAGACAGCGTGTTAAGATCTTTGCTATGATGTAAATACTTCTCTGTGTATAAAAGTAGGTCTTTGTTCTGTTTTGTTTTTTATTTCAATTAGCATTAGTTTCAAGACACAAACAAACAAACAAACAAACAAAAAAAAAAAAAACACAATGGGCTTGTCATTAGGGACATAATGATAAGTAAATTTAACAGTACAGTACCACTGCAATATTCATTACACAATACAATACTGTATTTATTGTGATACTGTGGAATTGATAGAGTGCTACTTTTTCCTGTTAAAAAGCCTTGACAAACCTTTGAGACTATATTAGTGTCACTGTCCAAAGAATTATAGCTTCTGTATGTGGTTCCTTGTGATCTCTTGTATATAACTGTGACATACTGTGTTTATATTATGATATTTGTGTTTTACTTACTGTAATTTATGTCTTATTGATACCAGACTCTTACTATTTTTATTATTATAATTTTTTAAAATTGCTATTTATTTAGAAGTTTATTATCTCCTGCCTCCAGAGGGCAAGACACTTTTTTCCAGTTGTGAACCATGGAGACTGACAATCTGCATTTACCGACTTCCCGTT